AAAAGAGAAAAAGAGAAAAAGAGAAAAAGAGAAAAAGAGAAAAAGAAAAAGAGAAAAAGAAAAAAAAGTCAAGCATATGCACACAGACACGGTTGGAAATCCTGTGACCAGCCATTTGCGGCTGTCAGGGTGAGGGAGAGCACAACGAGGTAACACGAATAAAGGCATCGCTCTACCCCCTCTTCCCTTTTGCCCCCGGAAAACCCTGAACTGGATTTACAGGCTGTATCCTGGTTTTTAAAAGACTGAAAAATAATTTTCTACAGCAAGGCAAGACCCCCTACCTGCTCTGAGCAAGTGCTTGCTCAGCTGCTAGCATTGGTAGAGCTTGGAAACGTCAAAATGAGAAGGTCCGTCTGACTGCCCTGTAGCAGGGAAGTGAGCATCAAAGGATAAGGCTCACAAAGGGGGCCAGCACGTTGCAGAGCTGAAAGCACCCACAGTTCAGAAGTGCTGCTAAACGTGACAACTCCATATGCAAACCTCCCTCTAACCATTAATGTATGGAGTGGATGCATCCAGCTGTTGCAGCATAATAAATCTCATATTCAAATACACAACTAACAGGTACTGGCCAAATACAAGACATCTGCTTTCTAAAGCCATGGCAACATAAGACCAAGTCATGGGCTTGCACTGGAAGGATGGGGGGGGTGAAGGCAGAAGGAAGCACTACCATTGCCATCACATTTTCTACTCTGTTCTAGTCCACCTTTACTCTAAAGTATTGAATAGTCTTTCTTTTCTTTCTCTTGAGTCTTCTCTTTTGTCTGTTCCACCCAGTTCTAAAGGGATTATAGGAAATCTCGTTTGAAACATCCCCTGTGCCACCATGATGTCGCATCCTTGGCCATCGTCCTCTCAAAGGACCCTAGGATAGGAAAGACTTGCATTTGGATTTTTACTATTAACCCTACGCAGTGAAATGGACCAGGGAAATGTCACACTCAGCTGAAGGTTATCCATCCCTAGTTCGGGAAATGTCAAACAGCTGGGAGAGGACAGCTTCTATAGCAAGAAAAAAACAGGTGAATAAGCCCTAAATGGCAGCATCAGTCACCTCTCCATTCTTTGCACATCCCTCCTGTGTGTCTCTCCTGTGCTGTGAACATAGCAGCAGCTCCCAGACCTTGCTGTGCCTGAGCTCAGCTGCATAGAAAGGCACATCAGCCCTCAGTTATAAAAGAACAGAAATAACAGCTAGTGAGTTTAATATTAAAATGGGCAAACTGGTGGGTTACATTTTTCTCCTTGATCATGCCTTGTGCCCTCCCAGGGGAGCCCAGATTTCCTAGAACTGAGAACTCAAACCTTCTCCTCCAAAACCCCCCAAATTATTTTTCTCCCTCCAACCACCTGCAGAGCCAATATTTCCAGGCAGTGACCCAGGCCACCCTGCTCCTTAGCTCTGTGCATACCCCCAAACGCCGCATCCACACCTCAAGAGCACATAAATGGTTCAAAATAAATAAATCATATACACAATTACAGAATTGGTCCGATAATGAGCCTGGGATTCTGCTTTGACAATATACCTTCCAGCTCCTTATTTGGTATGAAAAGGAAGAACACTGACTTCCTGTTCACCTCTATAAAATAAGAAATGGTTAATTTGCAGCCTAATGATGTGGCAAACAGCCTGCTTTGACTTCTCAGGGATCACTTTTGTTTTTGTTTATCCAGTCTGCTGCAGCAAGAAGATCCCTCAGAGCTTAATTTCCTATGTGTAACAAGGTGGAAGCGTCAGCCTTCAGGCTAGCCACCCAGCTCACCCTGCGGAGTGCAGCTACCAGATGGGCCAGTAACAGACCTAGCAGAGAGCGTTTCCTGCTCAGCAGCTGACTTCGCAAGTGCCTGTTACAGCTTTCTCTCTACTGCTGACAAGTGATTTTAGCACTCAAGCTCCATCGAGCACAGAGAGAGTGTGTTCAGGGACTCAAAAATCAGTGTTGCAGATGGGTAGGAAACACGCTGCCATGCAGAAACCCAGTCCCATGCTTTGCCTGAGAGCAAGAGGGAAACAAACTCCTTGCCCATCGCTTCTCCAGCCTTGCAGATTGATGCACTGCTTTTAAACAAAGCTGGCACAGGGAAAAAGCACCTGTGTATAGGAGGTGGGATGGCACCTACTGAGCAGGGTGACTCCAGGCTGGGTCCTGCAGGGAGTGTGCACCAGTCCCACCAGGACGGAGATGTGCCTGGTGAGAGCAGACAGCTCTCCCAGGCTTGTGTCTGCCTTTGTGCTTGCAGGGCAGCGGTGCAGCGAGCTGGGCTGCAGCCTGTTGCACCTCACATTCATGTCCATGGTGGCTGTTTTATGCTGCTCTTGCTCTCGGTGTCCGGGTGCTGCAGCGCAAGGGGTGGGCTGCGGCGGCTGGGAGGGTGCTGCATTGTGACGTGTGAGAGCAAGCCGCAGCGCTGGAAATGCCTTAACCTGCTCATGCTGCTGCAAGTCATGGTACTGAGCAGTTTCTTGGAGATCTTTCTAGGCCAGGCTGTAGGAAAAGTGTTAGTTTTTCCCTCTGAAACTCTTGTGGTGCTTGGAAGGATCCCCAGGTGACCCACCAAATCCTGCTTTAGAGTGCAGTCCAGCAGCTGATGCGGGGAATGCTGCTGCTGTGGTCCATGACTCACATTTTTCTGCCACTTTCAGAGCAGAGCATGTGGTTGTGGTCCCCAGCTTTAGATTGTGCAGCTCCAACTTCTTGCACGTTGCCAGCTGCACATTTTCCCCAGGATCACCACCTGAAGAGTGCCAAGCAATTGTCCACATGGCAGAGAGCAAAGCATCAGAGGTGATCTTGAGGCTGATAGCCAGCATTAGCCCAAAGTTAAATTGATGGGAGCACAAGGAAAGAAACTACCAGGTGTCGCAAACAGGTGATGAAAAAGTGTTTGGCCAACCCTGACCTGACCCTGGAGTAGTAAGGCAGTAATGGGAGAAACTACCAGAGAAAAGGTGTGGAAGGTGACTATCGGGGAGCCCGAGGGTGACAAATGACAGAAGATGCTGAAAGGGGGGAAATGCTGATTTCCTGGTGTCGCTGAGCATGGGTGTTGAGTCAGCAAATAAGGGTGCTGAGTCAGCAGTATGGGGGCTAATGAGGAAAACATGAATGGGACAGGTTGGGGGAAAGTGGAGGAAAGGAAATATCAGGCCAATGACATTTACTGGGTAGACTGCATGTATAAGGCCAGTTACTGTACGGACCTACAGAGCGCGTATGTACACAATGGTCTTTGGCCCAGCCACAGGTGCCCACTGAGCACATGTTTAACTACATTTCTGCATCCTGGTCGTTCCTAAAACATCAGAAAATGGAGTAAAAACATCGACTGAATCATCTTAGAAAGTTTTCACCAAAAGATCACCCCTCATCCCTAAAGCATACTCAAGCCTTCCACTGCAAATAAATTGTTCCATACTTCAGCAAAAAGAAATAATTTTTAAAAATGCAATTTAACAGGTACTGTTAAATAAATTCTTTTCCATAACCCACTAATGCTTTCCTTTTGCTTGACTGAGTCCTCTGAGCACTTAGAAAATTCCGAACACTTGGTGGAGACACTAACTGGCCAACTGTTAAAAACAAACAAAATAAGCGCTGGTGTTTATGGAAGCTTTTAAAATACTCATACATAGGCATCCACACTTTTTCTTCTACTTGGAACAACAAAAGCAGCTCGAAAGTGCAGTGACTGCTGAATGCTGTTATGTCAGTCACGTGCGCAGGAGCGCACGACTTGGCTCACACAAATGCTTCCACCAAAGAGAGTGACTTAACATGCCCAAAGCAAAGTATTTGCATGACACGTGTCGAAGCGCCCTACCTGAGAGGCATTTTCACTAGTTACAGGGATCTCACCCAAGAGCCTCAGTTCAATGGTATATTATGGAGAAAAAGGAAAAGGCAGCAGACATAAATCCTTTGCGTCAACCTTGCTTGCTGATAATCACGCTCCTTGACACACGTTTCCGTATGCAATACAAACAGTTGCAACTGGCAACTCCTCAACGTGATCAGGGAAGAAGAATCTCGAGTACCAGTGCAGAAGAAACACCTCCTGCTCTGCAGGTGAAATAATCCTCACGAACCAGCATA